GGCTGATAGTTCCTGGCGTATTCAGGGAGGCGTAGTCGACTATAGGATTCTTGTTTCCTTTTGTTTTTTTGTAACTCCTCCTAACTGACCACTCTTGCCACACTAGGAACCATTGAGGACATCATAGCAATTGGTTTAAGGCAACTGTCAAACTCTTTTCAGACTGTTAAAAGTATCCAAAGTACATGAGATCAAATACCCTTCAAACTTTTTAAGCTGTCATACAGGCCTTTTCAAGCAAGTTTCTTTTGGCAAACTTTCTTTTTGTATGTTTAACTTGTAATTCAAATACAACGACAGATCCATTTTAAATGTAAATTACAAGACTCTACGTTTTTCCTGAGGGTTGAAAAGATTGGACAGCTCACCGCATATAATTAATTTGGAGTGAGCGGCAAGAGTTATGCATGAGAATCTATGGATTTGCAACAATTCATAAAAAAAAAAGGGATTGGATGAATGAAAGGTGATTTCTTAATATTGCCCACCCTTGATCTAACTACTACAGAGATCAAAAGCAGAAGACTGAACAGAAGAGTCAGGGCCAAATATCTAATGGCGTATTGCACCTTAAAACAATTAAAATCATTCAAAATAAGCAATCTATGCCTTAAAGTCTCAATATTATAAATGCAGATTAGCACAGTGATGGTTCTTATCGACTCTGATCATGTGAGCGGAAGTAATGATTTGTGAGTGTTTAATCACAAAAAGAACCAGAATCATTCAGGAAACAAAATTATTTCATTATAGTGTGCAATCCACATTAACAGACTCAAAAATAAGCTCCTGAATCACAGGACTGAACAGAAGTTATTTTGCCATGAGATCTCTCATTTGTAATTAATTGTCAAGACAAAAGAGGAAGACAATTTACTGGTGAGATGTCTTCGTGCCCAGCTTTCTCTGAGTCCATACACAAGTATTTCGTAAGTCGATCCCCGAACGCCGTTCATACAGTTCAGCTCACTCAGAACGACGTTCGTGGTTCGACTTGTCGTGACTGTTTTCCAAGATGGCTCCTGTCTGTATACACAAAGTGAACTGTCTTTATAAAGTATCTTCTTATTAAACGGTCTGCAAAGTTCTCATGTATGGACCCTCATTATGTTACTGTGTTGGTGTGGGGCTATTTTGAGCCTTGTTAGTGGTATAATCTAGCGATTTCTTTTTACTTATTTTATGCCCCATATACTAGCGTTATACGTTAAACAGTTTTTAGAGATAAAACTCTTTACATTCGATTATCATGAAAACAAATCTCAGAGAACGGTTGACTAGGTACCGATGTTTTATTGGACCAAAGGTTCATTTTGCGCCAGAGTTCTCCTTTAAAATGCTTCTAAGATCGACTTGTCTCGCTGATTTCTTACCTGGTATGTGTTACTGTTTTGTTAATTTGCAATATTAAAAAATAAATAAATAAATAAATAAATAAATACTGTTTTACGGTCAATGACATGAGTACCAATCAGCTGTCTCCTTCAATTAGTTAACCGGCATATTTATCCCCACATAGCAAAGCCATAACACAGTGAGGGAAAAGAACTAAGTTACATGAAACAATCCAGCTACATTTTACACCACTGACAAGGGAAATATAACTACTCACAGTGTTTATGGCTAGGTCTACGCTATCTCACGACCAATTCGTACGAATTCGACAAATGATTAAAAAGTGGCTAATTCGTACGATTTGTCTAAACCCACATGATGGGTAGGTTTAGGGGCGGGGTAAGGGTTAGGTCATTCGTACGAATTCATACGTATTGGCCAATTCATAAAATATGTACGATTTAGCAAAATCATACTAATTCGTACGAGTGAGGTCATATGGATTGTTACTAATTAGCCACTTGTTAATCATTCGTCGAATTCGTACGATTTGGTCGTGAGATCGGGTTGGCTAGGTTGTAGGATCCTGCGGCTTCTATTTTAAGGTATGAACGAAACGCGCTCTGTACAGCTGTTTCTTCAAGTTTAGGAACATGACTTCACAATATGTCGAAAGGGGTGCCCGTGGTTATGTAGATAAATGTCTCATTCTAGGGTGATAAAAACATTATGGTTTAAGTAAGTTCTTTATACACCACTGAAAACATAGTTATGGATTTCATAGTGCATTGTCAATAGATACTCAATTTTCACACATTGCACCTTTAACCCTTGTGCTGCATTAGATTTTTAACACCGTTGAGTGCATTAAGGACCAAAAATGGCCACATATTAAACATTGCCTTGTTACGAACCCTGTTGTTAAGAATGCTCGTTTTGTAAGGGTTCAATAACATAAAAGGAGACGCAAGGCAAAAAGCAGTTTAAAACATTTATTTATACTAATAAATGACTGCACAATCTCACGTCTCTCATGTTCTCACTCTTCCCACAGAAAACTCACATTTTCTCTACACTAGACATACCAAACACTAACAAAAATGAAACAGAACAGTGGCACAATACAAAGAACACAGGCTTGAGTTGAAGCTGATCGGATGTTTAGATGGTCATGACGCGCACGGAGTTTCACCGCTGCGTGTCTCACACTCCTGCACACACCGCTTATATGCTCAGCACGAGCCATCAGAGCAACGAACCACAGGTGCGCAAGGGAGGAGCCTACACTTAAGAAGAGACATTAATTAGATTACAAGACAAACATACACACACAAATACATAGGCAACACCCATAAGGCTGAGGCCGTAACACTTCTCCCCCTAAAGGAAGAATCAGACTTTTTTTTTCCTCTTCTTTCCCTCCTTAGAAGGGGAAAAGAAAACTGATTCTGCATAGAACCAGAGCTTAACTCAATCCACGAGACAACGCATCTGCTACCACGTTATCAGATCCTTTTTTATGACGGATCTCTAAATGATACCGCTGGACCATTAAAGCCCAACGCATCAATCGTTGATTATGGTTGTACATTTTACCCAGAAAAACCAGCGGATTGTGATCCGTATAAACAACGATCGGAGAAGAACTAGACCCCACATAAACATTAAAATGTTGTAAGGCTAACAACATAGCTAAAGTTTCTTTTTCAATCGTTGAATAATTCAACTGATGACTGTTAAACTTAGCTGAAAAGTACGATACGGGGTGGCCTATTTCATCAGCACCCTCCTGCAGCAAGACAGCTCCCACTCCAACCGCACTAGCGTCGACCTCAAGCTGGAATGGACGAGTCACATCTGGAGCAGACAGCACAGGTGCACTACAAAGAAGAGATTTAGCAGAAAGAAATGCCTGCTGGCACTCATTAGTCCAGTCAAAACAAACTTTAGGACTACACAACTTCGTTAAAGGAGCAACCACACTCGAGAAATTTTTGCAAAAAACCGGTAGTACCCAACCATCCCAGGAATCTACGTAGTTCTCTCCTCGTAGTAGGCACTGGGTAACTGAGGACAGCAGTCACTTTTCCGTCCAATGGCCGTACCTTACCGTTTCCCACCTGCTTCCCTAAATAAGTGACAGAAGCCTTAGCAAATTCACATTTTTTCAGATTTAACGTTAAGGAAGCAGCCTCTAACCGACGAAACACGTCATGCAAGGTCAACATGTGTTCAGCCCAGGTAGTCGAATAAATAACTACATCGTCTAAATAGATGTTACAGTTAGGAACGTCACCTAAGACTGTGGACATTAAACGTTGAAACGTTGCTGGTGCGTTTCTCAGACCGAATGCCATGCGTTTATACTGCAGAAAAGAATCGGGGGTTACAAAGGCGGAGATCTTAGAAGCGCGCTCGGTTAACGGCACCTGCCAATAACCTTTCAAAAGGTCTAACTTAGTAATATATTTCGCACCCCCAAGACAATCAATGCAATCTTCCATCCGCGGTAACGGAAAAGCATCAGCCACTGTGATGGAATTTACCTTTCTAAAATCAGTGCAGAAACGTAAAGACCCATCAGCCTTCGGTACCAGAACACACGGTGAGCTCCATGGACTATTACTCGGGACAGCGAAACCATTCTGCAATAAATACTTAACCTCACTTTTCATGGCTTCTCTCAGACTCATTGGGCAACGATAAGCGTGTTGCTTGATCGGTAATGCGCTACCGACCTCAATGTCATGCTGAATGACATTAGTACCCGGAGGAACGTCATTGAACAAACACGGGAAACTGTCTATCAACTTCATTACGTCCTCTCGCTGTTCAGGCGATAGATAGGATAGTTGCTCAGGAAGCAAAGATAAAATCTTAGAGTTTTCAAAACATCCTCCTCCTAAAGCTTCCATGGATACATTCAACCCATCGTCCGCAGTATCGGCAGGCAAAGCATAAGCCAACAATGAAACGCGCTCAGTATTTCCTTTAGTCACCGATTCACTAACCAAATTCTCAGGGTTCTCTTTTGGTTCGACACAAAAATATGGTTTCAACATGTTTATGTGACATAAACGAGTTTTTCGCCTCCGTTCTGGCGTGTGTAAGATATAATCAGTTTCATTCCACTTACTTTTTATCACGTAAGGACCAGAGAAACGCGCAGAGAGAGAAGATCCAGGAATAGGAAGCAACACCAAAACTTTTTCGCCTGGCAAAAAATTACGCATAACTGCTTTCCTATCAAAATGTTTTTTCATTTTCGTTTGTGACAGAGAAAGTGCTTCCTTCGCCACAGCACAAGCATTGTGCAAACGTTCGCGAGTACGTGATACAAAATCAAGGACGTTGGTCTTCACAGACGAACTGTTACCGAGAAATTCTTCCTTTAACATTTTCAAAGGACCACGGACATTATGTCCAAACACAAGCTCTGACGGGCTAAACCCAAGCGAGTCCTGCCGCGCCTCACGTACCGCGAATAACACCAAAGGAACTCCATCGTCCCACTCATTCCCAGTCTCTGTACAGTACTTTCTCAGTGCAGATTTTAATGTTTGGTGCCACCTCTCTAAAGCACCTTGCGACTCGGGATGATAGGCGCTTGATACTACGTGAGAAACGCCAAGAGCCTTTAACGAGGCACGGAAGATACGAGACACAAAATTCGAACCCTGATCAGTTTGGACAGTTTTCGGCAAACCGAATGTTGTAAAGAATTTAGTTAAGGCTTTAGTTACTGTCTTAGCCGTTATGTTGCGTAACGGAATGGCTTCTGGGAACCGTGTAGCCGCGCACATGATTGTCAACAAATATTGACAACCAGACTTAGCCCGAGGAAGTGGACCCACACAGTCAACTAGAACGCGCTCGAATGGTTCTCCAACGGCAGGAATAGGACACAGAGGAGCAGGTGGTACAATCTGATTAGGTTTTCCACTAACCTGACAAATGTAACACGTCTTACAGTGTGTCACAACATCAGACTTTAACCCTGGCCAGAAAAAATGCTGGAGCACCCGGTTATAGGTCTTAGTTATCCCTAGGTGTCCAGACCAAGGATGGTCATGAGCCAGACTTAAAACATGTGATCGAAATTTCGAAGGTACCACGATTTGATGCACCGCATTCCAATCGTCTCGCTGCTCAGAATTTAAAGATCTACTCCATTTACGCATGAGCACATCATCGTTCCAGTAGAACTGGTGATTACGCAGCGACTTTTTGTCATTTTCAACACTCGCACGACATTTTTCTAATGATAAATCATTTCGCTGAGCTTCGATCAGAATTTCACGCGAGATGGGCAAATCAGAGATCAAACTAAGATCAAAGCCATCAGATGCCTTTAAAGTCGTTTTAGTCGAGTCAGGAGAGTCGGGAAGAACATCAGTTTTCAAAATCTGTGAAAAGACAGAATCACAAAGAGTATTACTTTCGTGAATGTCCTGTTTCGCCTGTGCTCGCGTTACAACAGCACTAAACACATTCGGCAAATTTTTACCAAGTGCATCAGCCTGCGAATCATTGCATGGGACATCAACAACTTGTACTACCGGCATTACCTTACCTCCAGCTATGTCATTTCCCATGATAAAATCCACACCTTTCACCGGTAAAGAAGGACGAACTGCAACCTCAAAGCACCCAGATGCCAAATCAGAAGAAACATATACTCGATGGAGAGGAACAGGCACAAAACCCATTTCAATACCCTGCACAATCGCACTGGTATTACATGCCGAATCAGCACAAAAACCCAGAATATCTGATAATATAAAGGACTGAGATCCTCCTGTGTCACGGAGAATTCTTACAGGTTTTCGGCTTTCGACCTTCTCATTTAACGAAACAAATCCATCGAATACGAAAGGCTGAAAACAACTGTCAGGTGTCACAAGAGAACTGACGGATGATGGGACACAGTTTTCACTAGTACTGAACCTCGAGGCTGGAAAGATGAAGAATCTTGTCGCTCTTGTTTGCGTTTTAAAGTACGACACTCAGCTATAACATGTCCCGTCTTGTGACAATAACTGCACTCTCGGTTAAACTTCGGACTGGTTGGAACCCATTTATTTCGTGAGTCGGAAAGATTTTCATTTTCCTTTAATGAGGAACCCCCACAGTCAGACGGACGCTTTGCAAACACAGTTTTATGCATTAATGCGTACTCGTCAGCTAACACGGCAGCCTGTTGTACAGTGCTGACTTTCTGTTCATTTAAATACAACGCAGTACGTTCGGGAACACAGTTCTTAAATTCTTCAATCAGCAAAAGTTCTCGCAAAGAATTATAGTCAGTTACCCTGCACGCCTTGATCCACCGATCAAATAAAATGCCCTTTTCGCGAGCGAACTCGACATACGTTTGAGACATGCCTTTGTTCGTAGTGCGAAATCGTTGTCGATAGTGCTCAGGAACTAATTCATACGCTCGTAATATTGCAGTTTTCACGGCATCGTACTGTACGCTTTCATCTACCGAGAGAGATGCACACACCTCTTGTGCCTTACCTGAGAGTTTACATTGTAACATTAGTGCCCAAACCTCGTTTGGCCATCTTAAGGCAACAGCAATTCGTTCAAAAGCTTGAAAATATGCCTCAACTTCCCTCTCACGGAAGGGTGGAACAATAGATATATTTTTAGCCGCATCAAAATGTGTCGAAAACGGCGCTACAGACTCAGATCCCACATCAGAGGGCACAGAATTAACACCCGAAGTGGATTGACCAGCAGATGTCTCAGAATTAACCTCCAACCGAGATGTTTTGACGATAGATTTTTTAGGTACCTCTGAAGCAGCCTGCAACTCCAACTCCCGCAATCGCACCTTCATATCAGCGTCAATTCGGTACATTTCAATCTGATGCTTCAAATCATCTTGTCTCGCCTGAGCTTTATCCTGAATTTCTAACTGTAACCGTGCTAAACGTAGCTTTAAACGGGAATCTGTACGCAAACCTGATGATTCTGCGGACAGCGACAAAGGTTCAAATTTAGGTAGTGAAAAAGACGGACGTACCTCCGCACCAACCCCGATCACTGGAGTAACTGGAACACCACTCGTTACACGTAAGGGCGGACTTCCTGCAGCTGGTATCGCCAACTCCGCTGCTGCAGTAGGAACAGCCTCAATAGAAGAAAATACCCCTTTATTAATCAGACTAGTCACTAAACAAGCTTTCAACTCTTCCTTACGAAGTGTTCTAGAGATAGAAATCTCATAATGTTGAGCAATAAGAAACAAATCATTTTTTCGACATGTCTCTAAAGCTTCAACACTAGGTTGATCTAAAAATTGACTGAGCTCAAACGTTGCCATCTTTATAAAAAAAAACGAAAAGAAAAACACGCAAAAGCAATCAGGATAATCCAACACCCTCTGGACCTACCTACCTAGCCATTAATCTAAATAATACCCTACCTAGTCTTCAGAGGGTACCGATTAAGAGATCGCTCTCTCCCCCGGAATACCTCCAAAAACAACAAACTAAAATAATAAAGCAAAACAATAAACAGTAAACCGTCGTCAGAACTGGCGCTAAGCACAGCCCTGCTGGCTTACTCTAACTAACCAGAGGATATTGGTCACCTGAATTAAATTAGATCAATCAAATTGCCACTACTCAAACACATATCTTGGACGAGCCCCCAATTATGTTACGAACCCTGTTGTTAAGAATGCTCGTTTTGTAAGGGTTCAATAACATAAAAGGAGACGCAAGGCAAAAAGCAGTTTAAAACATTTATTTATACTAATAAATGACTGCACAATCTCACGTCTCTCATGTTCTCACTCTTCCCACAGAAAACTCACATTTTCTCTACACTAGACATACCAAACACTAACAAAAATGAAACAGAACAGTGGCACAATACAAAGAACACAGGCTTGAGTTGAAGCTGATCGGATGTTTAGATGGTCATGACGCGCACGGAGTTTCACCGCTGCGTGTCTCACACTCCTGCACACACCGCTTATATGCTCAGCACGAGCCATCAGAGCAACGAACCACAGGTGCGCAAGGGAGGAGCCTACACTTAAGAAGAGACATTAATTAGATTACAAGACAAACATACACACACAAATACATAGGCAACACCCATAAGGCTGAGGCCGTAACATGCCTAAAATATTATATATTATTATTATTTTCCACTTTTACCAAGTTAAATCTTTTAACCAGCATCAGTCCTCATCATAACTACCAAAAATGTATTCAATTTCAGGATTTTAACCCTTTAATTAGCAGTTTTGTTTGCGAAACCATCGATTTGTATAAGAGGAAAAAACACAAAAATTCAATTATTTTCAATAAACTAAATGCAAAGAGAAAACTTTAGATTTGGATTATCACAGTCCCACTTTGCAAAAAATCCCACTTAGCGCGTTAGAGACCAAAAATGGCCACCTATTAAACATTGCCTATTGCCTAAAATAAGGTGCATTTCCACCCATAGGGAATACATATGGGTCTGAGGGAAACAGCATTTCAATCTTCTTTATGTTCTGTACATGGAGTAAGAATTGACAATAAATTGAAATTGAATTGAATTGAATTGAATTGAATTGAATATGTAGTGACGTCATCTGGTGGAATACACTATATAATGCAAATATAATGCTTTTGCTTCAAAATGAAAGGATGTTTGTGCAAAAATCATGTTTCATGTATTACTGACAGCCTCAGATTTAAACAACGTTTTAATGGGTTTCAATGGGCCATTTTTGGTCTTTATGGTGCTGAGTGGTACTATTTGATCTACACAGTGTGTGTTATACATATTTTGCAAAATGGGATCACATTTTTTACATGTATCCAAAAAGTCACAATTTTGCCAAATTTCATACCATTTGCATTAAAACAGCCAAAATGGTCAAAGAAATTAAACTGCAAAAGACCAAAAATGTCCCTAATGCAGCATAAGGGTTAAAGATTTTGTTAAATGCATTATAAAAGTATTGTTGATGCATCAATTATGCACCTTGTAATGCTTTATATAGTCTCATTAGTAATTGTAACTACGGTTATAAAATATTTGTCTATAATAATTATCTAATCTTTGAACATATCTTTTAAAAAAAGTATAATACAATAAAACACATGACAAACAACTAATTTCATAATCTACAAATATTATAATGCATTTGTAATGCATTTTAACTTGGTTGCAATTATTTATGAAAATATTTAATGCATTATAATGCACATTATGCATAGCCTTTAGAATTCATCATGCATAGGGGTTTTAGTGTTACCAAAATATTAACAACATTTTTAGTCTTCACGAATGTTACCAGAATCAAACCTTGTGATAATAATTTAGTTCCATTATTTTCAGGTAATTATGAAAATGGGCTCCTGACTCCTAACCCAACGGTTTCTGCTTCCAGAAGACAGCTTTAATTGGGCGTTATAAACAGGTGCATGTGACACACAGCAGTCCCTGAGACGGATGATGCATGTGGGAAGAGATGAGGTTTATTTATGGCCATATATGCGACAGTCATCAACAGATTGACAGTTATGTACACAGTCTGTGCAATTTTTGCATTGACCCTCACCATTATAAACAAACAAGATTTTTTTTTTTTTTTTTTTATAAAAGCGGACATAATTTAGCTGATTTAAAACCTGATTCTTTACAAATACATTTACAAATGTATAAAAATGACATTGCTCTACAGTCGTACATGCCACAGGACAGTCAAAAAAATAGTCCATCCATTCACATGGATCGAATAGGGTCGAATTTTATTTTATTTGATTTATTTTTCTTATTTTCTTTTTAAATTCTATCATTCTATCAAGCACTTCTATCAAGACCAGTGCAGATTTCTTTATTTCAAAACAAACTAAAGCAATAATAAGTGAGGTATGTTCAATTTGCTCAATTTATCCCTCTTTTAAGTTCCACAGAAAAATCATTTAAATTCTGACAGAAATATAATTTTCCGTTATTCCTTTAAAACTATGCCTGTAAAAGTTAGTGTGCTTACTAAATGTAATTGAAGTCAAGTCACTTTCATTTATATAGGGCTTAGATTGTTTTAAAGCAGCTTTACAGTGATAATGGAAATTAAAGTAACAGCGATTGTTTTGGCTTAACAGCAGTTCTGGAATAAAGTTATTGTCCAGCTAAAGTTAGTTTTGATTGATTCACTTCTGTTGCAAAGATCATTAACTTAAGGGCCGCTTACAGGACAACGTTCTTACAGAAACCCCTTAATGTGCTCTGGCCCATTTGCACAACAACAGTGCCTGGTGGCTCGAGAATGCAAACCTTGAAACAGGTTAAACATTTTTTGAAACGTGTTGTTTTTTTTTTTGTTTTTTTTTTTTGGAAAAAAATTCTGAAACGTCATCTCCATGTAAATTTCAAATTTAAGCCATTACGAATAATTGACCTATGGCTAAGCCACGCCCCCTCCACTCACTCGGACAAACAGTCAACATTCGGGGACAGGCACTATGGCAGGTGTCACAGTAAGAAACATTTCACAGAGGCAATTTTTGGAGACAGAAAGATTATATATCATCTCGAAGTCACCTAAAGGGCCTTAACTATGCATTGGAGGGTTATATTAATAATTTTATTGTTGATAAGGTTGATGAAAAGCTTCAGCTCCAGGCAAAAATGTTCAGGTCACAGTGTAAACGTAATGACCCCGCATATCATTGCCATCACCGTTTGGTGCTACAGTATTTACATGAATCATTCAGCACAACATTGTTAACATTTGTTATCTCGGTTATTTACAGATATGTTAAAGGGTGCCATCTGACATAATGAATCAAATCCTATTCCATATTCCATAACAGATGGGGGCAGTATACCTCCAGAAAATGAGTTGTGCTCCTACCATCGCGCATGTTATTCAAATCATTCGACATGATAGTAAAAGGTTGGAAGGCCGAATTTTCACAAGGAGCATTTGGAGATTTTTAGAGATCAGAGACTCAATGAACAACATCTCAACAGTAAATGATGAAGACCGCCTCATACTGTAGATCCCTGTCTCAAAAACAAGCTGGTGCATTTCGACAATATGGGAAAATAAAAGCTTGGGAAAGTATTTGAAGTTTATGGTATTCGTTTTGTTCATATTACACTTTTATTGTTAGTTTGAATTAATTTGACAGACAGCATTCCCTGATGTTGATCAACCTAGCGCCATTCAGAGCTGCCAACTCTCACGAATTCACCTTGAGACACATGCAATTAACACTTAGCAAGCAGGTTAGTTAAGCTCTCAGATTCTGTCAATTTTATTACGCAATTCAAAGAATAAATACCATTTTGATCCTTGTACATGTTACACCACAGATCCCTAGCGCACGTGAACCGATCGTCTATTCTAGCTAATGGAAAAAATTAACACTTCGTTGAAATGAATGAACGAACTCTGTTGAAAGATACATTATGCTACAACTTACCAAAATGTATTCCTCATGCATAATGTCGACCAATCATTTTTTGAACTCTTCCCTGAACTGAAATGAAGTAGTGGGCTGTATTTGACATCATTGCACTTATTTCTTCTCATTCTTTTGATGCGTGTAGCTCATTTTTTGGATATTTTTACCTCAATTATTCCATATGGCACCTTTAATGATGCAAAGTGACATGATGTAAAATGCAGCTAGAAGCTAACGTCAACGTTTTGTAATGTTAGGCTAATGTTTGCCTAACTTTTACGTTCAAATAAGATAACGTTCAAATATGTTGTTGACTTAACTTAGAACAGATGTAGACATCCTTGTTTAATTTATCCACGTGAAGTTGGTGTTGTGGTCTACCGCATAACTTGATCGGATAACTTAATCCAGAGCAGACACTTATCATCTCGGTTGAGATGTCTCTTGGGAAAGGGTAAAAAAAAAAAAAAAAAAACACACACTGTTGTAAAATATATCGACAGCGCAATAATTTTAATAGACAAACATAGAACTGCAATCAAGGCATTTGTTGATCGGAAATATATTTTCGCTAAGAAGATGGGACGTAATGAAAAGCCTGTGGTCGTTGTGGTTTCTCCTTTGGTCGCACTCGTGGAGAAGTAAGTAAAAGAAGCAACACTCGTTATTTAACTTCTAAAATAAGTAAGTTCTGTAGTTGAAAACTGCACTATGCAAAGGAGTTGACTTACTGCGTTGCTCTGATTGGTTATAGGTCTACCGACTATCCAATTGAGTGCAGGAGGAGGAGTTTCAGACTCATATTCTCACTAGAGGCTATTGTTCTGTAGGACAACGCATTCTCACCCCAAGGCGTCACCTTTGACCATGCTTCAATATTTGACGTTTTAGGCGACCTTTAGCGTCACTTACATGACGCGATCCTACGGCGTCATCTAACTGACGCTAAAGGAAAGCGTCAGTTAGAGGACGCGGTTAGGTTTAGGTGTGGGGTGGGGGTAGGGTACACGCGATCCTAGGGCGTCATCTAACTGACGCTAAAGGGCGCCTAAAGCGTCAGATATTGAAGCATGTCCAAATGCTTCCCAAGGCGTCAGTTAGGTGACGCCTTGGGAGTGAGAATGGGCTGTGTAGGAAGGTACTGCAACATTTGTTCTTCACTACTGTATGTAAACCTCTGTTCGAATGGAGGAAGGGTTTCCCATTCTCTATTCTAAAGCAGTATAAGGGTCTTTCTGGATCCAAACATATACAGTATGTGGTTATCTAGCCAAAAACTGAATATATATGGAGTTGTTATTCAATATATCATATTCCTATATGATATAAGGTATACACTTATCAGTTAACTATACTTTCCTCCTAATCTTGCTATACCATCTGAGACAAAGATGCCAAAAAAACTTGAGAGATACTTGTCTCCCTCAGCGCTGGGTCATTGTTCATAAAAAAATGTTAATTGCTAGAAGGACTGGATTTTTGTCCACGTTTTTTTTCCTGTCAGAGGAACACAATAAGCTGAGATGACTGCAAATCCTGCCTTGTCATGTTTCACCATGTGCACTTACAGTACATGATGGCTGTAACCAATATTTATGTTCTTGTGGATTCTTGACCTCAGAGGAGAACTGCTATTGCTTCTGAACACAGAGAAGTAAATACCACATGAATTCACTAACAAGATCTAAAAGACCATAATGCTGAGGGCTGTAAGAACGAGTATAATGAAATTGATTTATTGAGCATGCTCTTACAGAGTTAACTCCTTGTGTTTTTATGGTTTACAAAACAAGCACTTCTCACCTGCTATTTTACAGTGTTTTATGTACAATTGACTATAATTAAGCTTTAATAAATTAAACAAGTAATTTGAGCTTTTTCTTTCATCATCAAACATTGTGCCAATGGAAGGCACATCAATTTTCATCAATTTCCATAATCTTTTCCATAAAATGTGGTATTTTTTTGATTAATACATTTTTCTGTATTTCAGTCTGTCATTATCATGTTTGTCATGTTGTATTTTAACATAGTAGCTGAATTTGTTGCATATTGCAAAATTAACATAAGTAAAATGCTAAATTGGGTCGCCGTGCTTCTGTGAACATAATTGCTGTTAAAGGAGTAGTTCACTTAAAAAAAAAAAAAAAAAAAAAAAAAAAACACTTTTGCTGATAATTTACTCACCCCCATGTCATCCAAGATACCCATGTCTTTCTTGCTTCTGTCGAAAAGAAATTAAGTTTTTTGATGAAAAAATTCCAGGATTTTTCTCCATATAAGGCACTTTACTGGTAACCAAATGGTTCAAGCTCCAAAAGACAGTTTCAGAGCAAACTGCAAACTGTTCAAAGGGCTTTAAACAATTCCAGACAATGAATAAGGGTCTTATCAAGCGAAATGATCGCTAATAAAAAAAATAAAAAAAAACCAAACAAAAAAAGTTTAACTTTTTTCCCGGGAAAAGATTTGTTCAGTTTGGAGACGGGACTCAGATCTATTATCCTTGTGTGTGTTTTTGGTCTTTTTTTTTTGAAGGATGACAAGCTGGAAGGACAACATGCCAAAATTAAATGGGAGTAACAAGGCTATTTTTAAAATGTAAGGAGTAGAGATAATTGCGTGAAAATGTAAAAAGTATTGGTTGAAAAAGAATTACTTCAGTAAAGCATAGATACCCCAAATTTCTACTTGAGTACAGTAACAAAGTATTTGTAGTTCATTACTTGACACCTCTGCCTGTCATAATAAAACGTTAAGTAACCTCTGAGAAGCCTATCTGAATTTGTGTCTTGTAATATAACACATTTCTATAAAGGAGGCATAGCATAGCATTGACATTAATAAGGCATCTTTGAGTAAACTTTGAGTATCTGTTTGCTGGGCTGAGTGTCCTGTTTTTTTGGTAATCAAAATATGGTTACCCTACGCTATATAAATAAAGGTAACTTGACTTTTTTTTTACAGAAGCAGACTCATGAGATGGATTTGGAAGTGAACAGGAGTTTATTGACAACAGAGCGGGAACAGAATGCAGGTAAGCGATATGAAGAATGATAATTTGGAGAGCGGTGCGCAGGTGATGAGTAGAATGGTTCTTCTAACAGATATGAAGACTGATGGTGGGTGAGATGGATGACAGGAACGGGGAGCATCGAATACAATGGAGAAACAGAGGAGAGGAAAGACGAGACGCTAGAGATGGAGAATCGGGATTGGAGGTCGTAAGGTAAGTAATTTTCTTCATGTGCACGGGACTGGACAATGAACAGTGGTAAGGAGTGTGTTTTTATCAGCGCAGTCTCATCAGAAAGATGTCTAACTGACGTCTTGGGACCATATGTCAACATCCGCCATTTTAGGGTACCCTTTTAAAGTCGGTTAAATGACGTTATCGGATCCTAACCCTACCTCAGACCTAAACCTACCCCTAAACCTAATTGACGTTAAAGGTAAAGCATTAGTTGTATGACGTCCCAGGATCGTCATGTAACTGACGTTAGGGTACCCTAAAACGGCGGATGTTGACGCATGGTCAAAAGACGTCCCAAGACGTCAGTTATATGACGTCTTGGGATGAGACTGTGTTATCTTTATAGTTTTAGTGATAAGGTGCAGGTGTGTGTGATTTGGAATTCAGATGAGTGCGCTGGGATTGGCTGGTGGGAGAGCCTGGCTGATCTGTTAACAAACTTGTGGTTTTTAAAGCAATAGAATGCAATGGAGTAGGTATTTGTCCACTCTTCTTTCATGCCATTTCTTGCCATAGATCTCAGATTGTTTTGGAAAATAATGACTCTTCTGTAAACTCAAATTTTGTTTTGCCTTTCGATTCTCGACCACTTATCGCTTACAGAATAGCTGAATAGCTATTCAAGCATAAGTGCATCTAGACAATTTGATGATATTTCACTATGAACCACAGAGAGAAAAGAAAGTCCATTCTCCGATCGAAAGAAAAATGCTTGACAGAATAATGATTTTTTTTAAACTTTTTTTTTTATTCATAAAAGAAAAATGGATTACAAATCGCCCAAAATTTGAAGAAGCACAGCAGATTTGAAAATTGATAATAATACAAAAGGTTTTTGAGCAGCAAATCATCATATTAGAATGATTTCTGAAGGATCATGTTACACTGAAAACTGGAGTAATTATTCTGGAAAATCAGCTTTGCAGCAATAACAACATTTTAAAATATAATCAAATAGAAAACAGGTTTTGACTGTATTTTAATCAAATAAATGCAGCCTTGCAAAATGTAGAACCATATAGTGCACATGATTTACATTCTTTCCCTTTTTATCACTTATTTATTTTTTGCAGTTTAAGTTATTAAACTGACGACTGCACAATACCAGCTTAACTTTCAAGACAAAGCCACATCAGAAACCGGTTACAGCAGAGGTGTGAATATTATTCAGTAGTGGTATTATGAGAATGTCAGCCTAAGAAAAAAAAAAAAAAAACATTTCTGTCACAGTCGGCTGAAGCAGAGAGGAGATGGAGCTGGATCTATTCAGTAGTTTCTATTTATTTACAAACTTAAACTTAAACATAAAACTGAGGTTCTCGTGATACTTGGCTTTCAAAAACAAGGACCGAACAACAAACCAAAATTGAGAGATTAGAATAACTGGGTAATAACTAAGTACTAACCCTGAACCAACCTCTAATCCTAACCTTAACTCATGTAGCCTAGTTAACTTATATTACCCAGTACTGTCTTATACCCAACACTGTAAGTACATGCACTGTAAAATAAAATGCAACCCAGAAATCAGGCTCAATATATACAAACACAAACCAATGAAAGAAAAGAAAAAAAATGCACATGAAAACAATACCTAACAAATGAAACCGATCAGGCAACAGTGCTACTAAATCATTTCACAATACAACTTCCACTCAAACCCCAACAAAATGTGACAACCTCAGTCTGCCGACATCGAAATTTCATTGAGTCCCAAATAATGGGGAATAAAAATGGGGCCTGCCTTGAATGATTTTTTGCTTCAGAAATTATGAAGCAGAGGCAACAGAACGGGAAATAATGATCTAGACCAGTGATTTATGATTTATTTAATGATTTATCACTTGGGTTAATTAGACGATGAGTTGAATCAGGTGTGTTTGAATAGGGAGACAAAGAAAATGAGGAGTCTTGGTTGTCATTCAGGAGGTTGAAGAACACTGATCTAGACAATGCGTATTATCTTTGCTTTATGTGAATATTTGCCAAGCGCTGACATTTTACAATAGAAGTACACAAATAATCATGTATTAAAGGAATAGTTCTCCCAAAAATTAAAACTCACCCTGTTCACTGACCCATATTTATGTGAATAAAAGCCTAAATTTAATATGTTAATCATATAAAGCAATCGTGTCTTTTCAGAAAATGTAGAATAAGCCACTTAGTTCATTTGTGGCACTGTCACATAAGAAACTATTTATACCGCTCAATACTGTATGATGATGGTTTTATAAATATTTGGTCTTAATGGGTTTACATGTTGTCTTAGCCATTTGTATTCTTCTTCACCATTTAATTTGTGTAGGTCTTAAATGTGTATAGGTCTGCCTGCCATGGGCAATCACATGACAGGAATCAGGAGTAGAACAAAGGGGGCAGCATGGGCAACCCACTGGGCATTATCAAATGCGCTTGGTGATCACCGAACCTAGACTGTGTGGAGTTTTATTCGTATCACGTTTTCAGTTACAAGCATTTTGACTCACTATCACTTGGATTTTATAAACACTGTTGGACACTTGCATAAGTCATTCATACTGTTTTAGGGTGTGGTGTTATGGACTCTGCTTTTAATGGCCCGAGGTTTACTGGTTTCACTGTGTTTTAAGTCTCTTGTGAACATTGTAAATGCATAATTTCTTTTCACTTTTATACGCCGTCTGCCAGTGTATAATAGATTCCCTTTCAAGGGAACCTCGAGCTGCGTTAGAACACGGTGGAAACGCTCTGCGTGATTATGTTTTGAAGCACATGTAAAATCAGTCCAATGGAAACCCGAAAAGTCAAGGCGGGTGACGTCATAGACCAGGAAACTATAAAAGCACCCCTGAAGTTTGTCTGTGCTGTTGCCAGTTAAATATTTATTGTCCAGCTGAACATTATGAGATTGGAAATAAAGAAGAGTGTTTTTTTTTTTTTTTTTTTTTTTTTTTTTTTTTTTTTTTAGATTAAATGTATCTTAAAACAGAAAAAAAAACAAAAAAAAACCTCTTTATCTCAGCCTCCCCGTTGAGGACTGTGGTTTTTTCCTTATCTCCACACTGAGGTGTCGAGATTGTGTAATAAAAACCGCTTTGTATTTTATGTGTTTAATCCCCAGATGTCTAACTATAGTAATGTTTGGGTATTAAGTAATAGTAATAGTATAATCATAGTATGACAATGCCTCGGGTTAAAGAGACGCTTGCAAACTTTCTCTCTCCCGAGTCGGTCGGTGTCATCGCTATTAAAGGGTTAGTTCACCCAAAAATGAAAATTAAGTCATTAATTACTCACCCCCATGCTGTACCAACCCCGTAAGACCTTCGTTCGTCTTCGGAACACAAATGAAGATATTTTTGATTAAATTTGAGAGCTGTATAACTACCACATTGGCTCCTAAAGGACTGCCTCTTGACGGCCCAGAAAGTCAATGAAGAAAATGTTTAAATATCCCAAGTGACTACCGTGGCTCAACTATATGTTTATCAAGCGACGCGAATACTTTTTGTGCGAAAAAACAAACAAACATAACGAGTTTATTCGACTATTTCTTTTCTTCCTTGTAGGCCAGAACGAGACTTCCTTAGATTTCCACGACGCATGCGCGAGAATTGCGATCTGCTCACACCAGCTTACACCACTTCAGATCGCAATTCTCGCGCATGCGTCGTGGAAATCTAAGGAAGTCTCGTTCTGGCCTACAAGGAAGAAAAGAAATAGTCGAATAAACTCGTTATGTTTGTTTGTTTTTTCGCACAAAAAGTATTCGCGTCGCTTGATAAACATATAGTTGAGCCACGGTAGTCACTTGGGATATTTAAACATTTTCTTCATTGACTTTCTGGGCCGTCAAGAGGCAGTCCTTTAGGAGCCAATGTGGTAGTTATACAGCTCTCAAATTTAATCAAAAATATCTTCATTTGTGTTCCGAAGACGAACGAAGGTCTTACGGGGTTGGTACAGCATGGGGGTGAGTAATTAATGACTTAATTTTCATTTTTGGGTGAACTAACCCTTTAACCCCAACGTTACCCACAGCCATCATAAATAATGAATACATTTTTATCAGGCAGCCCTGGTGGGTAAAGTATATAAGGACATGGATGAATGTGAGGGGTGACTCTCTGAGGAGGGTTGCAGCGCTGATAGTTCGGTTGTTTCCCGCTGGTGGCCACAGAACTATATGTGTATATGTTTTTTTTTTTCTGATATAAAAATAAAGGGAAAATAAAGATTTAAATATGTCTGTTCTTCTGGACGCTCCACTTTCAAGAAGACTAAGAAATAAGCCATTCATCGGCGTTCCAGAGGTTTCTTCCTCACCAATCTAATGTTCCTGAGACTGGTGGGCAGGAGCAGTCTCGACCTATTAAGCTCCTCGCAGCACAAAGTGCAAAACAGTCAGGCTTCTATGGGTAGTCCCCTCTGGGGTAGGGACGGTTTTGAGAAATCGTTTCTCCTCAGTGCCCTTTGGGGTGCGACTCTCTGAGGAGGGTCGCAGCACTGCCAGTTCGGTTTCCCTGCCAGTTCGTCGTTTCAGGGCACCAAGGCATCAGTGTCCCCAAAAGAGCGTTCAAATAAGAAAAAAGAAGAGCAGTCAGTTCGGTTTCCCTGCTGGTTCGCCGTTTCAGGGCGCCGAGGTGCCTGCTTTTTCCAACGATCCTCTGAGGGGAGTCGTAGGAACTAAGCTAGTTAGAGGTAGGCAAGATCTGAGGACTGTTGACATCTCTAATAAAGCTGAGACAAGAAGTCCTGTAACAAAAAAAAAAAAACAAGGCTATGAGGCTTCTGAGGGCTCCTCCAGGGTAGGGAATGTTTTGAGAAATCGTTTTTCCTCGGCAACCTCTGGGGTGTGACTCCCTGAGGAGGGACTCAGCGCTGGCAGTTTGGTTGTTTCCTGCTGGTTCGCCGTTCTGGGCACTGAGGTGTCAGCGTCTCCATACGATCCTCTGAGGAGGGTCGTATAATGGTCAGTTCGGTTGTTCCCTGCC